TCAAAAAAAAATCTAAAGTTTGAGCATCATGTGCTGGCTCATATAATTACTATCACCCTTCTCCCTCGTACTGGATCCCTTAGCTCTCTGTCTACCAAAGATGTGTTTGTCTTGTATTGACTTGTGAATGGAAAAACAATTGACTAGCTTGTTTGGATACGTCAATGCATGCTTGAAAGTATTAGAGACATATCTTCCTCTGCAAATAGCATGCCTTATGGTCTACTAATTTCTCACATTTTGCAAGTTATGAAAGTGGATCTATCCCCTTTTGCTCCCAAAATCATCTTTATCACAACACATATAACAAAATTGTGTTTGCTATGATGGGATACACCCTAGTTGATGGAACTTGGGTTAAGAAAGACAAAGCCGCAGATACTTCACCCCAGCTCAGCAGGGTGATAGAGGATCCAATCCTGGTGCCAGCCAACCAACTTCCTCAGATCGGTTATTGAATTGAAGGTATCAAGGAAATTTTTGCTACCATGCAGGGATAGGTTGACAAAATACGGGATGTGACTAAAGAAACTAGAGCAGACGTGGCCAAATTGAAACTCAACCTCCAAACCATAAAGAGGCAAGGGATCAAGGCTATGCAGGATGTCAATGAGCAAAACAACAACAACAACAACAAACCCAGTGTGTATTTCCACAAGTGGGGTCTGGGGAGGGTAATGTATACGCAAACCTTACCCCTACCTTTAAGAAGGCAGAGAAGCTGTTTCCGATAGACCCTCGGCTCGAGAAAGATAAAGGGAAGGGGCAATGATAAACAAATCAATCAAAAATCCAAGTGAAAACACAAAACTAACACTAGGTAGTGCAATTAGAAAACCGAAGCTTGGGCAATAACAAGTAATAACAGAAGTCCAGAAATACGAAAGACACTAAGTGATGTACTAAAGCTACTGTAACAAATAATGACAGCGCTCGGCTACCTAACCCTCTACCTTAATTCTCACCCTTCCTATTCATGGTTATGTCCTTAGTAAGATGGAGCAACGTCATATCTTGCCTAATCACCTCTCCCCAATACTTCTCCGGCCTGCCTCTACCTCTCCGTTGACCCTCCAAGGCCAACCTCTCACACCTCCTCACTGGTGCATCTGTGCGTCTCCTATTCACATGCCCGAACCATCTAAGTTTCGCCTCCCGCATCTTGTCCTCCACAGAGGCCACGCCTACCTTGTCCCGGATAACTTCATTTCTAATTCTATCTAACCTGGTATGCCCGCACATCCATCTCAACATCCTCATTTCAGTTACCTTCATCTTCTGGATACGGGAGTTCTAGACTGGCCAACACTCTGCCCCATACAACATAGTCTGACCACTACTCTATAGAACTTCTCTTTTAAGTCTTGGTGGCACATTCTTATCACACAAAACACCATAAGCGAGCCTCCATTTCATCCATCTCGCCCCAATAAGATGAGTGACATCCTCGTCGATCTCCCCATTCCCTTAAATAACTAACCCAAGGTACTTGAAACTCTCTCTCCTAGGGATGACTTGTGAATAAAGCCTCACGTCTTCGTCCACTACCTGAGTCGCACCACTCAACTTGCACTACAAATTTTCTGTTTTGGTCTTCCTCAACTTGAAACCTTTACTCCATCGCCTGCCTCCAAACCTCTAACCTCTCGTTAACACCACCCCGCGTCTCGTCAATTAGTACAATGTCATCCAGAAATAACATGCACCATGGCACCTCACCTTGAATGTGGCGGTGCGTCAGTACGTCGATCGCCAGGGCAAATAGAAATGGGCTGAGGGCTAACCCCTAGTGCAACCCCATCACAACTGGAAAGTGTTCCGAGTCCCCTCACACGGTCCTGACTCGAGTTTTAGCTCCATCATACATGTCCTTAATAGCCCAAATGTATGCAACAGGGACACCTCTAGCCTCCAAACATCTCCACAAAACCTCATTCGGCACTTTATTGTAAGCCTTCTCTATGTCGAACACCATGTGTAAATGCCTTTTCCTCTCCCTATATTGCTCAATCAATCTCCTAAAAAGGTGAATGGCTTCCGTGGTCGAACGTCCCGGCATAAATCCGAATTGGTTCTCAGAAATAGACATAATCCTCACCACCTTCAGCTCCACCACCCTCCCAGACTTTCATGGTATGGCTTAGTAACTTGATACCCCTATAGTTTGTTGCAATTTTGGATACCACCCTTGTTCTTATACAACGGGATCATCATGCTCCATCTCCATTCTTCGGGCATCTTCGTCGTCCTAAAAATGACATTAAATAACCCAGCGAGCCACTCCAAGCCCGCCCTACCCACGCTCTTCCAAAATTCCACCAAAATTTCATCTAGTCCGGTCGCTCCCCCTTGCTCATCTTACACATAGGCCCCCTCTACCTCCGCAACTTATATACGCCTACAATACCCAAAGTCTCGACGACTCTCGGAATGTTCTAAGTCACCCAGCACAATGTTCCTATCCCCATCTTCGCTCAAGAGTTTATGGAAGTAAGTATGACATCTCCGTCAAATAAGTGCCTCATCCAACAATATTCTACCTCCTCATCCTTGATGCACTTCACTTGGTCCAGATCACGGGCCTTCCTTTCACTCACCTTGGCTAGCCTGTACAGCTTTTTATCCCCTTCTTGCCTCCAAGTTCTTCATACAAGCGTTCAAACGCGGCAGTCTTAGCCGCAGTAACTACTAACTTCGCTTCCTTCTTAGCCACCTTATACTGCTCCTTGTTCGTCCTCTTCTCTTCCTCATCCACGCTCTCCAAAAGATCCAAATATGCCGCTTTCTTGGCTTCCACTTTACCTTGGTTAGGAATGGCCGTGAGGAATTTGATATTACACAATAAAAGTTTGTTTTTTAAATGGTTGTGGAGGTATAGTAGGAGGGGTGAGGAGGACTGGCAAAAATGCTAGATTCTATCTATGGTGACAGAGGGATGGAGACAGAATCCTGCTCAAGTGAGACAATGTGGGGGAATTTGGAAGAAAATCAGTGAAGAGTAGGATGATACAGTATACAAATCTGGAGGTTGGCAATGAGGCTAGAATAAAGTTTTGGATAGATATTTGGAATGGAGATGAGAGTTTTAAAAACAAATTCCCAACTTTGTTTAGTTGTGCTTTGGATAAAGATGCTCACATTGCAGATTTTAAGCAATCTTTAGGTTGGCATATAACGTTTAGGAGAAATTTAAATGATCGGGAATTAATCAGCTTTTGTCAATTGCTTCAGCAACTGCACACCTGCTTAATTGAGATGAATAAGAGTGGACAGATTAGTTTGGGTCAATAGCAGGGATAAACTATTTCCAGTAAACAATTGCTATAAAATGTTACTACATCAGAATAGTCAGGGGGTTCCTAACTGGCCTTGGAAGATGATCTGGAAAACCAAGGCCCCTGTAAAAGCAGCTTGTTTTGGTTGGTTAGCAGCTAGAGATGCCTGTCTTACACAGAATAAACTACAAAGGAGGGGTTTCCACTGTGTAGCAGATGTTATTTTTGCAATAAGTGAGAAGGAAACTGTTGAGCATCAATTCCTTCACTGTAATTTCTGAAGACTCTCCCTGGGAGCTCTTTCTTACTATCATGGGTGTATCTCTGGTCATACCACAGAAGATCAGCAATTTGTTGGAAGTTTGGCAAGCTCAGAAAATGAAAAGAAACCTAAAGGAAATATGGAAGACTATTCCTGTATGCATATTGTGAACTGTCTAGTTGGAGAGAAACAAAGCATGCTTTGAAATAAGAGGGTACACATTGCTAGAGTTAAGAACAAATGTGTATCAAGAATCTATTTTACTGGTGCTCTAGCAATACCCAAGATAGGATGGATCAATACTTAGATTTTCTGAATTTTCTAGGGGGAACATGTAATATGTTTTGACTGGAATGCTGTAGTAGCATAGTAGCATCTTGTACTCATACTTGTACCATCTTGGTACACTTTTTAATAAAATATTTTACTTATCAAAAAAAAAAAAGTAGTTATATTATTCGACCAGGATGTCTCTAGTTCACAGAGCAATCACCAACGCCTGATGTGTTCATGAGCTGATATTAATTACTTAAACCTTTGTATATCTTTCAGTATCCAGTTTATGAGATAAATCTAGAAGTTGACATCACTTTTAGGGAGGTGGAGCCCAATAGATAAATTTTCAGAAGCCTCAGAGGAAATACATAGATAATTCCAGTGCTGTCAAAAGCAAAAAGCTCCAAAAAGCTCTCCAGGTCTATTGGAGCTTTAAGCACAAAGCGCAATTAAAATGTGGGCTTTAGTAAATACAGGCGCAATGAATGAAAAAAAAAATATATATATATATATATATATATATATATATATATATATATATGTAATTCAAGAAAAAAGAGTAACAACTTCACTCATAATATTTTACTTAACAACTAATACACTTATTTGTTGATTATTATTGTTATTAAGTACTGCCTGATTCAAGATAGAACTCATGGGCAATAAGGCACACGCCTTAGTGCCTTGCTTACATTGAAGCGCAGCTTAAGCGAGGCGAAGCGCGCTCCCTGAGCTTCAGAGCTTAAGCGCGCCTTAAATGAGCCTTTGACATAAATTCACTCAGCATGACGTTGTATAAGGCAGAAGACGAAGATCTGGATATTAACCAACAGAGGATACTGATAATTCAATGATGAATTTTGATGAAGCAAGTTTAAGATTCAATGGATTGGCTTTCGCGGTGATGTATAGGCATTGTAAGAGTTATTTCCCCTATCACATTGGGACTAGTCTCTCCCCTCCATGACACCAGTGGTTAGCGAGGTGGAGTGGAGAAGATCTAGTTTAAGAACAACTGTCACTAGAAAACCCTTCAAAGCAGTTTTAGATAGAGGAAGAGAGATCGAAAGATACCTAGAAGAAACTACCAGCTCAAGTACAAGAAAATGTACGTCCCAAAAAAGAACAAAAAACTAGTTGCTGCCAGTTTATACAATAAGGATGTGCTAAGGCTTAAAAACACTTACACAGGGATTTCGCTCAAGGTAGATGGTTGTTAGCTTCTCTTTAGCACCAGCAACAGCTTCTGCCAGACCTACCAATGATGCTATATTGTTGTCATTAAGCCATAAGTCTTCTAATCTGCATAAAGTGAACATGAAGATGATGACAAGTCCTGGCATTATAAAGTAACTCACACTTTAGAATTGCTAGGACAGCTTTCATACTTTGTCAAGTTCTCAATGTCATTAATTTCTGTAAGCTTATTTGCTGATACATCCAAAACCCGCAGGTTTACCAAGGTAGACAAACCTTCCATTTTTTCAATACCATTATGGCTCAAGTATAACTCTTCAAGGGCAACACATTCCTGCAAATTGAAAACAGCAAAATCAATCACTCTTAAAATGGAAGTCGCCTACAATGACAAAGCACAACTGTTAGCTATCAGGACCTGAAACCCAATCATGGAAGTTAAACGGTTGCTCTGCAGGCTAATCTTTTTAATGCATTTCAAACCGCACAAATTAACAGTTCGTATACGATTACGACCAAGCCATAGCTCTTGTAGATTTTTCAAATTTTCCAGAAGCTCCATAACCTGTTTCAAAGAACCAAAGCACTTCAAGGGTATACAATGAGCCAGGGAAAGCTATGTGGTATACTTACATTTACAAATATATATCTGAGTTTTGACAATCTTTCCTTTTTATGTGTGTGGGGGTGGGGAGTGGGAGGGATTGTTCTGCCTCTACTGTAAAGCTTTTCTGATTATTCTTTTTTTTTTTTTGACAAAGTAAGATATAAGTTTATGATAAAGCTTTTATGATTACAAATTTACAAGTGTAAGCTGTTGAAAAATATTAAATTTCTTTTGATGTCATCTTCAAGAGAAACTAACCCGTAATCTATTGGACCCAAGTTCGAGTATTTGCAGCTCATGGAAATGCACAATCTCCTCCATCTTGGTGAGTTCATTTTTAGACACGTATAGTTCTCTGAGTGTACTGGAGACCTTGGACAATCCATTAAGTGATGATATCTCATTGAAAGAAACATCAAATACCAGAAGCTTCTTGAATATCTCAACATCGGGAATTTTCTTCAGCTGATTGTCCCTAAGCACTATCTCCTGGAAAGAGAGTTCCACATGCATGATTTCAGATAATTTCAACAGGTCTGTTTCTATCACGTCTATAACCAGACAATCATACAGGAACCAAAACAGGGAGAAGGTCAACTCTGGCAATAAGCTGTAGTTACTAAACATTTTCTTTAAGTAATCTTGGGTGCTTTCAAGGCTTTAAAAACTAGGGGGTCGCTTGGTTACCAGGTGGGATAGACAAGGATATCCCATGGGATTAGCTATCCCACCTTCTATACGGGATAGCTAATCCCGCCATTTTGGTATAAAATTTATCCCGCCATTAGCTAATACCCATATCCAAACATGGGATAAATACAACCCCCCATTCTATCCCAGGATTAGTATCCTTATCCCAGTAACCAAACGAACCCTAAAAGTATAAGGACGAAATAACTGCCATGTTCAATCCCTTTACACACTAGTCTTCCACTTGCAGAGGTGAAATCTGTTAAGCATATCTGACTAACCAACACTATAACAACATCAAAAATGGAAAAGAACTTTTGTTTTCCTTTTCCTAAAAAAAGAAACTAATTAGACTGGAGAAGAGAAGAAGAAGACCTAAATATAAGATATTCAAGTCTCTGCCCCACAGTCTCCCATCCTCTGAAAGAGTGTGAGATAAGGTGAAAAAGAACATGACTCAAGCATACTTAAAATTTCAAGGCGCCCCCAGCAAAGCCTCTCCAACCCCAATACTGAAATAAATTGAAAAGTCAGAGATGAAAACATGAAGCGAAAGGTACCTATGCAAGAAAAACAAACATGAAGCGAAAGGTAAATGAAAGCCTTGTCTTAAATTTTAACAAATGAAACCATGCCGTCCAAGAGGAATGACTCAAATATTTTAATAGTTCAAGACGCACCCAGCAAAGCCCCTCCAACCCCATGACTGAAAGAAAATTGAAAAGTCAAAAAGATATGAAAACCTGAAGCAGAAGGTAAATGAAAGCCCTGAAATTAAATTTGAGATAAGGAAACCATCCCGTCAGAAAGGAATGTTAGCCATAATAAGTTATGTATGAGAAGTGCTATCTTTCTTCATATACTCAATACCTGGTACCAAAACCTTTTGTTTCCCTAGATCAACTTTCCCTCAGCACGATTTAAACAATTGGTCAACGAGCAAGAAATTGAACTACACTAAACTTGTAATGGTATGGATTTCAACGCTAAATTAACATACAGCTGCTCTTTCACAAACCGTAAAGCAAAGATAATTCCTATGAACATCAAGAAACAGTGAGAACTACAAGTTTATTCTTTATTCAGATTCCGAAGTGAACTTGGAAAATTTATTCAATAACAGATTCTAGCCAATGGTTGCTGAGAAAACAGATACACCAATTTTATGAAAAACAAATCAACAACTAGCACACAATAGTTACAAGTTTATTCAATTTGAAAAACCCAACACCTAGCAGTCAGCAAGGTATTATATCTAAATCAGAGAGAACCTTTGCATGAATAAACCGGACGGTTACTATGTAACGAAAACCTCATGAACCATGAATTCAAAGAATAATTTTGGAAACATATAAATAATATGAACCACTAAATTGAGCAGTCCTTTGTGATACGATTATTAAAATAGTCTTGTAGCAACAAGATTTCAACCAAGGAAAAAAAGAAGAAGCAATCCCAATCAATTCTGATATTGTTTATAGGTTAAAAGTTGAAATGTTTTCTTATTGTAGAATTAATACGAAATATACCCCCTGAAGCCTGTCCATTTCTAATATGGTGCTAAACTAAAGACTCTAACATCAAATATCATAATCATATTTAGATAATGAGATATAGATGAAAACCTCGATGTCAGAAATGACGTGGGAAGAGGAAAGAGGCTCAACGGCGGTATCGGTAAGAAGGTTTTGACGAAGAGAGAGCTTCTTGAGGTTAGGGAGTTGGGCAATACGGGGGTCTAAAGCGGACAAACGGTTCGTTGTTAAGTCTAACTCGATGAGACTCGGAGGAAGCTCCAATGAGTTGAGATCGTGAAGCTGGTAACTCGTTAGATCAAGAACCGTTGGGGCTGCCTCGTCCTCTGACATTGGATCGGTTGTGGGTTTGTGATTGGAGTTGTCAGTTAGTGAATTTCTCTGCTCTTTTGTCAAAAACGAAGGAAGGCTGCTATGGTATACCTGGGAAAATACAGCACTTGGATTGAGAGAAGAACGAGGTTATGCCTTTCCTTCTGAGTTCACTTTCAGTAAATTACAACTTACCCCTTTCAATTTTCTTTTCAATATCCCAATTGTTTAAATTAAAATTAATTTGTATAATACATGTACAGTTAATGTATTATACGAAAAAGGACCAAAATTGTCCGTAGACTATTCTGTTTGGTACAAATTACCCTATATCCACCTATTGAGCCTAAATTCCTCCATCCTTATCTTAATGGCTCAATTATACCCTTACTAATAACGGGCTTATCTGGAAAGAAAAAAAAATTGATTAATATCCACGTGCCGTCCCATTGGCCTAAATATAAATCCTTACGAAATTTTAAAAAAAAAACCCACCATAACCTAGGTTTTGATTGACCTGCCCTGAGTTTAAATCAAATTAATCTGAATCTTTTATTCTTAAAGACAATGTAACTTGTTCGTCTTCCTCTTTTAAGAAGATTCTGCAAATGAGAGAATTTGCACTACCGCAACAACAATAAAAATAACAATTTAAGCAAGAAAATATTAATTTTGGGAATGAAATGAAATAAGTATGAGAATAAAATTTCAGAATCTTGACTTAGGAAGCAATTTAATAAATGATATAACAACTCGGTCGGTCGTTTTGAGTTTTAACATTTCGTTTTGTGATTTAAGACTTCGAGTGGATTCATACGGTATTATTATGACTTGCGTGCATGGTTGATTTTGATTTTCGGGATGGATTTTATAGAATAATTTTTAATTTGAAAGTTTTAAGTTGGAATAGTTGACCAAGGTTTGACTTTTGATTAAACGACCTCGGATTGGTGATTTGATAATTTCAATAAGTTCGTATGGTGATTTTGGACTTGGGGCGTATGTTCGTATCTGAATTTGGATGTTCCTAGAACGTTCTGGCTTTATTAGTCGAAGTTGACCATTTGAAAAAATTGAAGAGGTTATAGGTATGACTGGGAGTTAAATTCGATTTTATTGGACTCCTATTGTGGCTTTGAGACCTCGAATAGGTTCATTTAGGTTATTAGGACTTGTGTGCAAAGTTTGCTTGTGATCGGGATAGTCTAAGTGTGGTTCAGATGCGTTCAGCGAAGTTGGAATGTTTGAAAGTTAAGAGAATGATTTTGATCTTTGATTCATGGTTTTGATATTAATTATAGTGTTTTGAGTCTTTGGATAAGGTATTTAAACTTGTTGGTATGATTGGAGATGGTCCCGGAGGCGTTGAGTGTATTTCGGGGTGAATTTGAACTATTTTTAATTCATTTCCAGTTGCTAATTTTTGGCTACAGGAGTATACATCGCGATCACGGAGCTCTAAGTCGCGTTCCCGAAGAATGAAGTGCAATTTTTCTCTTGTGAATCGCGATCACGGAGGGCTTGTTTGCGATCGCGCAGAAGAAATTTCTAATGTCACTTGACTGATTTCGGGAGCTTATATCTTGCAATATATAAGGAATTTGGAGATAGTATATAGATAAAAATTGTAGTCCTTTGTATCTAGTTTTCAGAAAACTAAATTGTTTGTCATTTGAAACTCTGTACAAGAAGTTATAATCATTATACTATATGATGTCTAGAAAAAGTTGAACAAGTTTGTTCAAGTTTGTTCATCGCAATCGCGGCGCTTCTTGGCCGCGATCATAAAGGGTAAAATTATTATGTATATTTTTTGAACTGCTATCACAAGGTGGGTGATCGCGATCACAAAAAAGGAGGCATGACAGGGGTATTTAATGCCTAATTTCGGAATTTTGAGCTCATTTTCATAAATTTTGAGGTTTGTAAAACGGATCAAGGTAATTTTGGTGATGTCTTTCATCCAAAACATGAGGGTAAGTGTTCCTAATTTGATTTTGATAAGGGAAAGGACCAAATATATCCCTCTACTTTGGTATATTATTTGCATCTATCCTCAATTATACTATCAGGCCAAATTTACCCTAACCGTTAACCAAACTTTTTAAAAGTACCCTCCACCTAATGGATATCCAGCATATTAAAAAAATGACCCGTTTTCTTTTTTTGAAAAAACCCATTAACTCATAACCCATAGCTCTTCTATGGATGTATACTTCTGTTGCATACGACGGAATGGACATTGGGCTCGATTTGAAGATAGGCACTCCAAAATCATAATATTGAAAGTTAAGGCACAACACATGGTGGTACTGGATTTCTATATATATTAGTAAATTGAGGGCATTATCGGGCAAGGAGATTAGAAATTATTTTTATTTTGTAAATGCTAATGATCAAGACTCAACTAATTGTATATGGACTGATTATTATCTTATCCATGAGGACTAATACTTCTTCTGATTCAAGTTCAAATATAGAAGTAAGTTCCTCTTTGACTCTGGCTTCCACCTCAATATGATGAAGGAAGTTTAGGTGTTTGTAGCATTTTCTCATTGTTACTAAAGGTTTTAATATAATATACGAAGCTGAATTAGAAGAAACAATCAATAATGATGATTGATTTCTAATGTGTTGGTTTGTCAATTATGAGCCTGATTCTTTCGGCTTTGTTCTTGCAAATGTGGTATTTTCCATCTCTTGGCCGAAGTTTCAAAAAAATGGTATTGATTCAAGTCATTCAAGTTAATGAGTTTTTTAAAAAATATTATTTTTTAATCTAATAATTTTCCGTTAGTTGAAGGGTATTTTTAATAAGTTTGGTTAATGAAAATGGTAGATGTGACCCAATAGTATAACGGAAGGTAGATGTGAACAATATACCAAAGTAGAGGGATAATTTTTTATTTTTCCCTTTTGATCATATATCATGAATTTCCATGGATTATACACCTACAATATGGAATTTCAAAGTGAAATTTGGAGTTTTCCTACTACAATTTAAGAGAGTGCATTTTGGGGATTTGAGTACCAAATTGGACTTAGTTTTGAAATCTAATCACATATTTGGGATCTACAGGTTATGGATCATCGAATTTTGGTATTAGTTCTGAATTTCGACCACGCGAGCCTAGGTTGACTTTTATTAACTTTTTAGAAATTTTTTAAAGATCAAAACTTTATTGACTGGAATTACTTCATATGGTATTGGTTGACTCTCTTGGTTGATGTTTGGCTAGATTTGAGCTGGATAGAGGTGATTTGTCACGCCCCAACCACGGGGAGCGCGACCGGCGTTCAACCGAGATACCCCGATCGAGCAAGCTTGTGCAATACCTTCTACCCAACTCGCCCATAAATAAAGAGAAGATGTATTTTATTAATTAGGCAGTAAGAGGTCATGTGAATAACACCAGTTCATTTTCATTAGTTACATTATTAGCAAGTCTCAAAAACAGTATACTGTACAGTCATAGTTAAAGTGGAACAGATGATACGAGTACAACATTTTTAGTTTAACCTTCCCAAAAACAGATACAACCCACACTATATCTACAGAGCCTCTAACCGATACAAAAGAGTACTAGGATAATCCCGACAACAAGGCCCCAGCTATACCTCAAAACACACTATATGAGAAACAAAAGATACATGACCCCGATATGAAGTGGAGCTTACTAAGTCAGTTGAGAGGAGTATGTACTACTATCACTGATCGATGTCGCTTGCTATGGAACCACCTGCATCCATTAAATGATACAGTGCCCCCGGCAAAAGGGACGTGAGTACATGTGAAATAGTACTCATATGTAAGGCAGACAGAACAACATATGAAAATACGGCAACTCAAATAAGAGGCAAATAAATTACGTCAAGAAACTACAAAATGACCCATAGCATCACATGTCAAGTCTTATTATACTTGCATCATTCTGAACTTCTCTTAAAATCAAGCGTGCCCTATGAACTATGTGTGGGATACAAAATATAATGTAAAAGTACCAACATGTACAAACAAGGGCAATGGAAGTGGCACCTATTGTTCGTGTTGCCTATGCGTCTCACCAGACCGTCCATAGGGTTCACATATTATGTTATACACCTATGCGTTTCATAGACCGTCCATAGGGTTCACATATTATGTTATACACCTATGCGTTTCATAGACCGTCCATAGGGATTCATTCATATAATACATCTATGCATTTCATAGACCGTCCATAGGGATTCATATATTATACCATCATGTACACGACCATATTTACACTCAAGTGATATGATTAACATTACCGTTAAGGTCGTAAGTTCCCGGATCATTGGAATACCTCACGTTCATACTTATCATGGAGAAACACGGTTTATTACATTAACACATACATGGCAAATCACTAAGTAGATTTCAATGGTGCATGGACCCAATTTCTTTTCGTAGGGTTCATCATCATTTAGCATAGGACGTCCCTTTTCCACCTCATTATATACCTCCTTGTCATCTTAAGGTCACTGTCTAAGTTCATGATTCTCGGTGACTTAACATCGAAGTCATTTACATTCATTATTTTAGAAGTATACAAACTATAGTTGAAGCCGTTGTAATATATAGTGCCTCGTGATTCTTATTTCGGCAAGCGGCCACAGTTCATGTTCGTACTATCACTTACTTGTACTTGCCATGGGTAATCATAGGACATTAATGACATTATTATATAAAGGAGTCAAAACCCATCTTATAATCTTTCACACATTCTTTCATTTCATTGGCACTATTGGCCATAACGCAATCTCATTTTTGGCACGATGGCCGTACTTCATATCTCATACTCCCTTCTTTCCTTTCAAATATCATCACGGGTCATCAACAATAAAGCATTTCTATTCAAGACTTTAAGTCCACATATTGAGCAAATAAGAATGTTAAACACATTGAGATTTCTTGCACAATTTGACATAATAGCCTTTATTTGAATCACGACTTAGAGATATAACATTTGGATATGCAACCCATGCTTCGAGCACATTTTCAAATAGAATATAACATAACAAGGACATTGGAATACATATTAAACATATATCTTTCGACACAAGGCTTATTCGGAATAGTCAATTTATAATTAACAACTCGGGACTTACAAGATCATCGTAGGGTTCAATTCTAAGAGAGAAGTTTAGC